ATTTATTAAAAATGAATTTTTGCAGCCGTCAATATAATATTATAAGGGTTAGTTTAAAATTATTCTTACTCTGAAATTTAAATCAATAATGTACTTATTTTGATCAAACTTTTAAAGCGCAGTTTTCTATACTTATCGTAAGTGTTTCACACTTATCGTATATATTGTTGACACATATCGTGTATCTTAAAATCTGCTTTAGTGACTGGTTTATAATGCGCTCGCGGCTTCAAATGAAAATTTAATGCATTAGTAACATTTTATTAAACGTTTTTAGGTATATAAGTTAAAAAAAAGACTAATAAATAAAAATTAATTACATAGTAATGAAAATATTATTTTGAATTAAAACTAAAGATTTTTAAAGCATATCCATCACTTTAGTACAAATCTTTTAAACTGGAATGGATAGAGTTTCATCATAATTATCTGAGTCTTATTTTATAATTATTGTTAACAATGGAACTCGTTTTCTGACTCAGTTTTAAGGCTTACTTTTTCTTTTCCGACTTTATTTTTCTTTTTTAAAATTTTCATGTTTTCTCTTTCTTTTTTAGTTTTTTCATTTAATAACTTTTTCTACATAGCCATTTGTTTCTTTCTTAATCTTTCATCTTCTATTTTTAACTTTTTATCTGCAGCTAATTGTTTCTTTCTTAATTTTTCATCATTTATTTGTGACTTTTCTTCCAATTTTGTCTTTGAAATTTGCTGCCACGTTTCAGATGTTACAACCGATGGTAAACGTTTTATTTTGCGCTTGGACGTTTGGACTGGTTGTTTGGCCATATTAAAACTCTTTCAATTGGACTTATGATTTCTGCTGCTATTTTCAAACTAGAATAAGCTGGTTTTGGTTCTATACCCGCTGCAATATTGCAATCAGGTATTTCCATACCGGTTATAATTTGCACATTTTCTAAATTACAAGTTGTTGATAGATTTTTATTACCCTGTTATATTTCATCAGGTAAAATTGTGGTCTTATATGTTTCAGATGAGACTCTTTTCCAAAAAAGATACAGCTGGAGATATTTAAGGTCACCTTTCCAACCTAAATCTTCATCAGCTATTTTAAACTGCTCTAAAATACTTGGATCAATGCAGTTTTCAATAAAGTTTATGGGAGAGGAAGCTGATTAAGTCACACTTGATTGATTCTCTTCTAAATAAGGAGTCGGAGCCACAGTTGACTCAGATAATCTTTGAACAATTTTTGTGTAGTCCACACTATTAGCATCAAATGGAAATATTCCGGTATTTTTAAAACTACTTTTAACATTATTTGCCATAGAAGAATCAATTAAAAATGAATTTAATGCTTCTGGTACGTTTTCATTACTTATTTCTTGTCCTTCATGGTCAATGCGCCATTGTTGGCATAAAGATTTCCACTTTGCTTTCATTGGCCCAAAAACTGTCACATCGAGCGGCTGCAAAATATGTGTTGCATTTGGGAATAAAGCAACGAGAATTATTCCATTTTTAGTGCAAAACTCACTAAGTTCGATTAAAAAATGTGACGCATGACCATCAAAAAAAATAATAACTCGTGAAGGAATTTCTTCTTTTATCAAAAATGGATGAAAAATGTTTGTAATATACTCAAAAAAACATTCTGCGGTTATCCAACCATTTTCACTTTTTCCAATACTCCATCCTGATGGAGCAGTATTTATAATTCTATTTGGAAGACGAACATATTTAAAAATTGTTAATGGCGGAGCAAAAGTTCCGCTGCCATTTACTGCAAATAAAGTGGTGATGCTTTTTTTATTACTTTGAGCACTTTCTTTATATGTATTTTTTCCTCGTTCACCAATTAATAAACTAGGCTTTGGTGACAACTGAAAACCACTCTCATCCATATTAAAAACGCGCATCGAATCATTTAAATATTGAGCGTTTTCTCCTAAAAGCTCTGGAATTTCAGTAAACCAATCTCTTATGGCTTTTTCAGTTACTTCTCCTCTAGCTCGGTTTAAGTATTCACCTCGTTTTTGAGATAACTGTTCGTGACGGCGAAGAAATGCATAAAACCAACCTTTTGCAGGACGGTTGTTAGTAAATTGTGTTTTTATATTGTTGGAATTCAAGTATTTTTGCACAGTATTTAATAGCTGTACTACAGACATGGCAAATCCCATTCTGGTGCATGTTAGTAACCACTCGACTAATTTAGTTTCAATGTGTTCACCTAGTACTGATTCATAACCGCAGTGTTGTATCTTAAGAGAGGTTTCTCCAGATATTTTATCACAAAGCGTCTGATAAGGAATTCCAAACGTCTTGCTTGCTTTGTACACAACCATGCCTTTTTTAACAGCATTAATAGCATCTCTTAATTGGCCATCTGTATATTGAAGTCTTCTTTTTGAGCTACAAACTTTTGTCTTATATTTTTGTCTTGCCATTGTAAAAGAATCTAAATGAAATAATTTTTATTTTTATTGTAAAAAAGAAACAAATTTATTATTTATTGGACATACGATATGTCCAATAAATAATAAATTTATTTATCATTTTTTAGTTCATACTTATCGTACGTTCAAAAATACTACATTGATACTATAATGATGAGTGGTTTTAATAATATTAACAATTATTCATGTTTTATTTACCTGATTAAGTCAAATTAGAAATAAAATTTTATATCAATTTTTTAAACTTCCTTGTTTTGTTTGAAACGCTTCTAACAGCTGGTACTTAAAAAAAAGTATTTGCATAGGCTGACGTAATAAACTCTCTGAGTTCATATAAGTAACTATGTATTGCGATTTTTATGTATTGTAATAGAAGTGCATGACAATGTTGTTGATACACAAAATATTAAAAAAAAAAAATTAATTACTACATTTTGCAAAATTTATGTTAGCATTTAAAACCTACGATAAGTGTCGACTCACGGTAGGTGTGGAAACGACCCTATATATATATAATATAATATAATATAATATAATATAATATAATATAATATAAAGTATAGCATAATATAATATAATTTAATATTCATTGCTTATTTCACAATAATAATAACAACTTAAGAAATAAAACACTTTATACTTACAAGAGATATTTACTTAGATATTTAATTAGAAATAACTATTTTCTTTTTCCACAAATTTTTATTTAATAAAAAGACAGACTTTCAAAAATGTTAAAACTCACCATCTAACCAGCATAAAATGATAAAAACGTGAATTGCAAAAATATAGCACATACAAAAACATTTTTACTTGCAAAAATATGCCTTGAAAATGCCTTATGAAAAAATTCCTTGGAAGAAAATCATTAAATAAATGCTTGCTGAGATTAAAAGTAACCATTTTAAAACATGAAACTACGTTTAACTTAGAAGTTACAACTTAAAGCCAAGGATCAAATGTACCGCTCCGCATCTAGTCTTGTTTTTTATACTTATTAACTAACCGGTTTTTAATAAAGCCCACTACAATGAATAAATATTATACAATGTTACTACAGAGGTAGCCAGGATATTTTTTTACTTCTAAAAGATCTATTTATTGCAGAGAGTTTATAATGAATAAAATCTGTCTAACTCTGTAGTAACATAACCTAATCAATCAATCTTTGCGGACACACAAAGACAATGATCCAAATAATTTTTTTTTTCTTGTTTTGGATTTTTATTTACAAAATATATCATTTTTTTGATAATATGCAAAAAAATTGGGAATTTATTGAATGTAATATAAAAATTTAGTGAAAAACTAGGTTTTTTTAACCCTAAAAATGCTGCACTTAAAAAAGCTAATTTAAAAGAATTTGAAATAAACATTATTTTAATAACTAATGGTTGTTTTTTGTTAACTTGCTTTGGTTAAAAAACATTTAAAATAATAAAATTTTGTTTTAGTTAAAAAACATTTAAAATAAAATTGAATTTTTTTTTTAGAAAAGTAAGTAAAGTCCTATTTTCGCTTCGCAACGCATAGTGCAACGCTGTGCAGCAATGCAATTCATTTATTTGTAACAACGCAACGCAAAGTGCAGCAATTCAATTCATTTATTTGTAACAACGATCTATGTAGCATAAAACGTTAGGTTGATATACACCATTTGTTGTATATCGGCTAACAATATAGAGCTAATTTATAATAGTATTTGCCTAACGTTATATACAATATTGGCCTAATGTTACATACGATATTAGGCCAATGTTGTATACAACGTTGGGCCAAACTTTTATACAACCTTGGGCCAATGGCTGAACAAAGATTAAACCTGCACTGGGCCAACATCAAATTTCAACGTTGGGCCAATGTATCACTTAATTGGCGCAACGTTAGGCTAATGTAAGCTTACTATCTGGGAAAAGATATAAAAATGCTATACTTTAAAAAATATCTACAATGAAAACATAATATTTAAATATAAAAACATACGCTATAAATTATTTTATTTAAAAAAATGTTTTACTAATTTCTCTCATTTTATCCATAAAGTTGTCTAAAGAAAATAATAAAATACAAAACTTGTAAATTTTTTAAAAGGCACTGGTCACCAAATCACCAAAAACAATGCAAAATTGAGCTATATTATGCTAAATTATAATATAGCTGCTGTTAAAAATTCAGAATTAAATTCTTTTAAGCGTGTTTTGTAAAGGAAAAAAAAACTTTTCGAGAGTTTGATTATGGCTTATCATTAAAATCTTAAAATCGATGATAAATTGACTTAATTTTTTTTGTCATTTAAAATCGTTAGTTGTTATTAAATTTAAATTAGATTTTAGGAATTTATTCCCACCTACACTCCTAATAAGATCTTGCCCATTCCCCGTTTATTTGATCTGGCTAAAGTACTTACCATTACCCTCCTCCGTGTAATAAATACGCGATAGTACTTGAATTTGATTAAAATATGCACACTTAAGAGCTTTAGTCTTTTTTTTACTTACATAAACAAAAAAAGCAAAAACGCAACTTAAAATCTTTAAAATATTAACACCATTAAAACTACATCATATTATTGCATAATTTTGTAACCATAAAAAGCAAAATTAAAATATTTTTTTGTTGAACTCATACTTTGAATTTTAAATTATTATAATTTTTATATTAGTTGATATGAAAAGTAAAACAAATTTCATTAAAATTAGAATTACGAATTCATTAAAATTTGTGTGCTTATGACCAAATTTCGCCCAACAAACACACGTAAATAACTGGTAAATAAATTTTCTTTTGCACCACATTCTCTTGTATCATTCTCAATTCTGTCTCAATATGAAAAATGCTTGCGGTATTTGAATTTTTAAACTAAAAAAACGTGACAAAAGAAAATTATAAATATTTAGACAATAATACTTTTTTATCAACTCTTTGTTAACTTTTTAGTTTCATATTTATAAATATTTAAACAATAATATTTTTTTATAAACTTTTTTCTTTTTTTATAAACTTTTTTTTTTTTTTTATAAACTTATTTTTTTATAAACTCTTATTTACTTTTTAGTTTCATATTTATGTTCAACTTTATAGAAAGAAAAACCTTTTTTAAAAAAGTCTAAATTTATGCAAAGTTTTTGGTATAAATATATTTTCAAAATAGAAAAACTTTTATTTATTACTTTTGAAAAAGTTGTTAATTATTTCAATACAATTCAGCTATTAAAACACAAATTAAAGATAAATAAAGATTAAATTGAAAAGATGGTAGAAGTTAATTAAAAATAAATACAAACCTTAGTCATTAATAATGTTTTCATTCTTATCGTACTATCACTTTTTTTTCATTCCATTTTTACTAACAAAAAAATCAAAAAATCAAACAGAAAATCTAATAAATCAGAAAAGCTAAATAAAACAGAAAACCTAAAAAAGACAAATAATAAAAGATAAAAAAAAAAAATAACTTCTCACACAGCTTGTTGAAAATTGAAGAAAACCGTGGTATTTTTCAGCTCGTGGTGTTTTTCAAACAACGTGGGTAGTTTTAAAAAGGTCTATTATACAGAAAACAGAAAAATGACGTTAAGCATTCATTGTTAAACGTTCATCACGTTTGTTAAATGTTCAAACGTTCATCAAAAATTCATCACATTAAGCGTTCATTGAAAGTACAATATCATTAGACGTGCAGTTTTAAAACAGAAATGTTTTTAGAAATTTTGCAGAATCGTAACTAACTCAGTAGCTAACGGCATTAAGCAAATCAAGCACTCAAATATAAATTATTATCTAAAGTTATCCAATCACACTTCAGTTTTTAAAAAACTAACCAATATTTTTTCAAATGCAAATAAAGCAAAGCAAATAATAGAAAAACGTGCAGAAATTTTTTACCAATTTAGAGTTAGCTGTTTTTTTAAGCAAATTTATTAAGTGTCTATATGAGAATTGAGTTAATAAATAATATATCTCTATGCTTTAACAAGTGAAATATTTACGAACTTTTTCCATTGTTTGAATTAAATTTGGAATATTGCCGATTTTATGATTTTAATTTTCAAATTTTAATTTATCAAGCTGATAGTTAAAATATATTCAAGAAAAACTTGTTTAGTGTGTAAGTTAATGATAGAGGTATACACGCATAGTATATTACAATATGAAAATAAATGAAAAGTACCTATCAAATAATTGAAATTTGCTTTTAGTAGATTTAGTGAGCAGTACTATAGGAACATAAGAGCTTCGGTTCTCTGCCTTTAAATTATTAATGCTATGTTTTCTGTAATGTAGGAGTTATTATTAAGCATATGAATGGAACTTGTTGTGCCAACAAGCGCAATATAGTGCCTTCCTCGAGTAATTTAGGTTTGCTTGTAATCTTTTTGATAGGTACACATAACATTTAATTAAAATTTACTTAAATACAATTATTATTAACATTAAATTATTTTAAATTTAGATAGAAACTGACAGTGTCATATTAGAAACTTAGTTAAATTTAGACGACTCTGAAAACGATGACGACGAAAACTCTGGAAACGAAAACGATGTTGAAAAGGTAAGTAATTTAAGGTGAGGTTTAGAAGTCATTGAAATTTTCTGAAAATTGTTTTAAAATAAGATAGAGGTATTAGAAAGTAATATATCTATAGAACTTTTGCTTTCAGTAGTACAATTGCAAAAAAACTAAAGACGAGAAAACAACGTTGTGAACCAGAAACATAGAAGAGAAATGTCAGATAACAAAGTCATCAGCCAGGAAAGAGTTATGTTAGTTGCAGAGGGAAGCAAATACCCTAATAACACATCAAAAGACCTCAAAAATTGTACTAGCCCCAAGTCAAAAAGAAATACATCCCTGTTTTAGTAGAGCAAACAGAAATGGTCGAGAAGCATATCAACATCATCGAGTCAGCCCAAAATATTATTGAGCTAAAACGTTCAAGAAGTACTTAGAATTTAATTTAAACATCAGCGAAATGTTTGAGCTATATAAAGATGAATGCAAATCTACTGGGAAATAACCTGTAAAACTTTCCATGTTTATCTGTATTTTCAATAACGAATTCAATATAACTTTCTATTTCCCGAAAAGCGACAGATGCATTACTTGCAAGCTGTTAAAAAAATCTAATCTTTAGAGCATTGACCAATCAAAGTATCAAGAACAAGTATACGAAAAAAACTTTATGAGGGTGAAAAAAAAAAAAAAGATAAAAGTGGAGATATTATTTTAGTAATGTAATATTTTATGGTTTTATGCGTGGAAATATCTTCAGGCAGTACATGGAACAACTAAGCAAGCGCTTTTAGAATAATATTAGACAAAAAAGTTGAAGAAAATGATTTCACAGAACTATTCATTTGGAGTGACTTTATTCAAATGCAACCAAATGGTTTCAATGATTTTAGCGAGTGTGTTAAAACCTTTAATTATAACAGAATCAAACATATTCGATAACAAAATTATGAAGATCAGAATTATCATAAAGCAATTTTTAAATAACAAAAAATCATTATTATTAATTCTTAATCTAATATTGTTAAATAAAATGTATTTATATTTGTGCAGTTTTGCTTTGTTTCAGTTATCAAAAAATTAAAATCCATAAAAATTAATATGGGGTATGTGAAAATAATTACGAACAGTATGGTTCTAATAGAGGTTTGAACCTTGCTATTGCTTTAATTAGTGCCGGATCAAGAGGAGGTGGGGGGGGGGCTAGGGTAGCTATATCACCGGGCCCCGCAAATTTAGGGGCCCCAAAAAATTTTAGAGGACCTATATATATATATTTTTTTGTCATTTTTAGGCTCTAGCCCATAAAAAGGCCTCAAAAAACAAAAATAATCCCGCGCCCCAAAAAGTTCTCATCCGCCACTGGCTTCCATATTTTTAAAATCTGAGAGCAACAAGATTCCAGCCAATAAATATACATTTTTTGACGTTAATAATATTTAAACAAAGCTTTTTAACAAAAAAAGGTTAACTACCCTTACTTAAACAAACAAAAAGAACTTTTCAACCAAATCTACGAATCTAAACAAAATAATAATGATATGAAACTTTAACTTATCTCAGTTTCATATTGGTATTGTTCGATACCAATATGAAACTATTGTTCAGTTTCATATTGGTACCTTGTTGCTCTAAGATCACGATATTTCAAGAAGCTAAAGCAAATTAATACATAACATAAATTTTTTAATTGTTAGCGAAAATAAAAACTTTTTAATGTAAATATATATTAAATAGTTGATTAATAGATTGATAGTATATATTTGAATTTAGAAAAATTAAAAAGTTATGAATAACAACAAAAAAGAAGTGAGCACATTCAATCTACTTGATTTTGCTGTTTCAAAAGAGAAGAGGGTTTATGATTGTCTATTGGAAACAGCAATAGAACGAAGGAATGGTAAAATATAATTGATATTTTATCTATTCATTTGACTGGTTTTTGATATTTTTTATTTCAAAAAGTATTTTTTTTAATATATATTTCTTTGCCTAGAGTTAGGAAATACACACAAGAAAACTTTTCAAAGTGCTCACATATTTTTTAGTAAAGTTTTATTACAATAAATTTTCCTAAATCTTTTTTAAGTTGCTAGTAATAGTAGTTCATTACTTATTATGCAGTAGTTCATACTTATTATGCAGTAGATTAGTAGTAGAACTTTTGGCTCACAATCAAGAAGTTCAAGGTTCAAATCCACTCTACTTCTCTGCAAACACAATGCTCAACCTGTTTATTTGTACAACGGTCAAGGTTTTATGGTTTAGGGTTAGATATTATTTGAAAATGACATAATTCATTGAAAATTGGCAGCCTTTCTGGATGCAAAGAGGGCCACTGCAGCATTTCTGGCTTCAGTGGCCCTCTTTCGAGCATGTGGAAGATTACTTTAATAAATAAACTTTGCGACACTCAATAATGTTCATTTTCTAAAAGACTAACAGCTTTTTTAACACTGGACAAAAAATCAAAATTCTTTGAATTACTTTTTACAATCTCTGACTAAACTCATAACTTATGTTGCAAAATATCGTTTAGCTTATTTCTTGGCATAGCTAAAAAATGTTTGTATCACTATGAAGATATTTATAAATAATATTCTGAAGTTTAATTTGAATCATGTTTTGTTATTGTGAGTTAAACTGCTATTTAACCTTTTCAGAATATTGTTGTAGCATTTTCTTGCTAAATATAATTTATTTAAATTTATGATAATTTATATAATAAATTTAGATATTTTATCAAAACATTGAATACAATAAAAGAGCCTTGACTTTTTGCACATACAAAAAATATTTTTTGTATCATTTTGCTACTTTATCGTTCAACAATGTCTGAGACAAATTTTTTTAAAAAACACTTTTTTTAATCCAGGTTTTGGCTTGTATTGATAGTTAAAGAATAATTGTAATGAGTACCTGATAAACAGTTTACTGAATGAATTATGCTAATTTAGAAAAAATTCAAGGTTTTCTTCGTAAGGGTGCTTACAAGTTTCGTTTGTGCTTTTGATTTCAAATTACTCACTGTTATTATAATAAGTTTAACAAAAATAGATCTATATAAAAAGTTTTTTTAATAATTTTGACATATTTATATATAAAGAGTTATATATTATATATAAAGAATCCTCTGAAGGTAAACTTTGACGGTTAAATTCATCTATGTAATGAATCAGCGGTTATCATTATTGAGCTTGATGGTTTACAAGTCCAAGACAAAGTTAATTTGGTGGATTTTTAATCGTTTGTAGTTGATATGATGCTTGGAATGGAATGAGTTCCATTAATTTGATAGAAGAAGTTTTTATTTTCCCGTATGGAATGGTTCAGCTCGTGTCAAGTGGCAGTCTCGAACAAAGATAAAGTCAATATAATTAAATTTAAAAAACAAGATAATGAAGCAATATTTAATGGTATCAAATGGAAAATTAAATGGAGATGGGTAGGTAGATGGAGAAGGCCCAAACTATTTGTTTAAAAAAGTTATTCATTACGACATACCAAATTATGCAATAGCAGAATATGAAAGCAAACTACGAGATGGGAATAAGACGGGACTACCCAAAGGGCAATTCCTTTTATGACTGTTATCCAGAAAAAAAAAAAAAAAAAAAAGTCAGACCCGTTATGGACTAGAGAGAAGTTAACAGTTTAATCAAGACGTATGTAAGAGATGCAGATGTGTGGTTTGAGAAGCTGAGAGAATGGAGAAGAATGGGAAATGAACCAATAATTATTGATTTACAAAATAATTGCTAATTTTTTGGTTTGTTTTCCGTTAAAAACTAAGGAATCTTTAATACCATTCCAAACAGTGGTTTTTTGAAACAAAAATTGTTGTTTGACATGACTTGGTTTTGATTGAATGTTGCTCTAATGATCATGAAATCTTTTGGATATGCTATTATTGATCAAGACAATTTGGTAAAGAGGAGAGCATCCGCCTACGTGGACGTCATTTTTGTCAATAAGAAAGTAAAAATGTTTTAAAAAATATGGGTCAGAAAATCAGGAAGGTGAACAGATTGGATGTATTAGGGTTCGTATATTAGGATTGGGCGGCCGTGACGTAGTAGTTAGAGCGCTTGCTTTATTAGCAGGAGATCCAGGTTGGAAATAAGGATTGGGCATATTTTGCGTCACGGTACGGAAAGAGGCGTGAACGTTATGGTTAAATGCACTTCCACATTGCCCTGTGACAAAAGCGTTGGGGCTTCTTGGGCGCCTAAATGACATATTAAAAAAATATATATTAGGTGTGAACAAGTTTGGTGATATGGTGATTGGGCTGTACATGGTGACGTGGTTGATGTATGAGTTGACGTTAGTCTTTGGCGATTGGTGCCCTTATTCAAATTGGTAAAACTGCTATAAAAGATGCAACATTGCTACGAAAAGAAATGTCTGATGATCACATAAACACGGCGGAGCGGGATACTGTAATGCGAGGAATGAATAATGCTTCGACGTGGAAACTAAAAAATTGAATATTTTTACAGATACGTGACAATGTTCCACTGGGTCTCTGACACTCTTACTGGTAAGTCGAGATTGAAATCAAAAACAATGGGCGAAATGTTGATTTGAAAAAGACTAAGCGTTCTGCAACAATATATTAAAGTAAATGGTCTTAATGTTAATGTAAAACTTGTTCCTTCCAAAGATATTTAAGCTGACGGATTGACAAGAGTTTAAGGCAGATGGTTGAATAAATTAACAGAGGCAGAGCATTTGAATAATTTCGTTGGAGTAATAGTTACAGAGGCTAAATACATTTCTAGTATATACTAGAGAACCGGCCACTTTTGAGTGAATCGAAAGTTAAACTTTGTTCGTAAAGTAATTTTAACCACTGCCGTAAACGATGTTCGAGCTGCTAAAAATAGCAAAGCTTTAGATTCAGTACCTGTATAATGGGTGAAGGAAAATTTAGGCGTTAAAAAAAATTGGGAAATAGTGGAAATTTTTTAGTCTAAATGATAGCGAATCTTCAAAATACGTATTGTGTCAACAACTTTCGAATTCATACGGAAAAATTGCCATTACTCGAATACTCCGTCTTATCTTTTGTGAGCAAGAAGTACCATTTGAATATTTTGCAGATAACGTAATAACCTTTAAAATAAATAAGATGAGAGGTTCACTTGATGGTTAGGGAGTGCTCATTAGATTTCGAGCTGCTTATTATTCCAAAGGAAATGGAATTGTAAAAAGAAACCACTGTACAATTAAAGAAATTGCAGAAAGATCAAAAATGTGAATACCATAAGCAATATATTAGTACAATGTTTCAGCCGACAAAAACAATGCAAGCCCAATGAAAAAAATATTAAGATATCAAATTGACGTAAAAAAATTGAGAAAACATAATCTTTCGGCAAAAGCTGTCATAAACGAAGTGTTTAAAAATGGTAATAACGTATGGTTGAAACCACCAAATGTTAAGTGCCATGCTAATTGGTAGCCAGCAAAACTAAATGAAAATATTTCAAAACAAATTGTTGAAGCTAATGGCGTTCTGTATCACGTAAAACATCTCAAAATGACATTAAGTCATAGAACATAAAGTTAAATTTTTATTTTTATTTGAAATTTATTTATAGTTGATATTTTTACATACAAGTTTAGTAGCTCTATATTAAACTATTTAAAGTCAACTCAAACAATTATAAAAAATTCAAGAAAAATACTTAATAAATCAATAGTAAAAATCAAAAATAACGAGTTATTTAAAGCTTGCATAAAGCGACCTTATAAATTCAATGTCTTTGACATAGCTCATGCATAATTTGCATGGATAGGGTTTCGTAATCTTATTTTTGATTTTTAAATTAAATTCTTTCAGAGCTAACACTAATTCGCAACTCATTGGTACCAAATTCCAAATTGATCATCGCAAATGCGAAAGGAACTCGAGACCGTATTTCATAGTTTGTATATTGTTATATGCAAATTTATCCCCTCTTAGAAAAGGATTGTGAAAACAAAAAATCACTTCCATCCATTTAGGGGCAAGTCCCAATTTAACTTTGAAAATTTCCGTACCCAATACATGTAAATTCTTGTGGTCTATAGTTTTTGAACCATTTTTTATAAGTAGTTCTTCAAAAGGAGAATGATAGTCTTGATATACAATTCTAAGTTCTCTTTTGTGTATTCTGTTTATACAATTGTAAAGTTTTTTGCTATGAAACAACCAAACTAATGGACAATATGAAAAATGAGATGTAGTAAAAGCGTAAAGTATAAGGTTTCTTTGATTCAAAGAAAAAAAATAAGCGAGTCTAGAGAGCGCGTTGATTTTTTGACTTGATAACGAAGAAAACTATGTAAAGCAGAGTAAAAGTGTGTTGGAGACGAGTCAAGAAAACATAATACAAACAAAAGGTGAGGCTTAATGGATTCCTGAAAGCTGAAGTGGTTGTTACTCAAGAACGGCGCTTATTTATTTTTATAATTTTATTTTTTAAGGTTTATCATTTAATTATTTTCTCATTTTTTAGGATTTCTGTTTTTTTTTTACCTCTTTAATTGGTTTTTTCAGCACATTTAAAATAAGCAAATTGTTAAAACATGCAAAGAGTCGTGGTCAAGTTGTTAAAACAAAAAAAAAATTGCATAGGTAGTCAGATAAGGTGGACAGCTGCATATGCCTCTTGTGAAAGGCTAATTCAGACCAATACAATTCCATTCATTTTCAGCCAAATTATGCTTAATAGTATTATTAACTCTCATAACTATTTCTATTGGGCCTACTCTAGTCAACACAAACAAACACTATGAACAATTAAAAAGAAGAGCGGAATGATGTGGTGTGGTGAAGATGTGGTCTGGTAATCTAGTTGATCTATAACTTATTAACATTTCGATCACAGATAATTTATATTTAAAAAGACGTAAAGAGTTATTGTGGCCCTAAATAAAAAGCTGCTCTAATTCTCTTAACAATGAATAGGGTAACAAAGTCCAATCAAATGGCCTGCTCCTCCTCAAGAACTTCCTCTATACATCTTTCTTTGGGGCTACTTAAAGAATATTATGTACAAGAAAAAACTCTTCAATTGCAATGATGTTTTAACAAACATTCATAGAGTTATAATGTAGTGGTTCATTAGGAGCTAGGTTGTGAACAAGTTAATGAGCCAAATAGATATATTTTTTCAATTTGGTAATACAAAATAAAATTATTAAAACGTTCTTTATTACTTATTTAAATATTTAAACCAAAAAGCATCTTTATTATTTATTTAAATATTTTAACCAAAAAGCAAAAAAAAAAATTTTTTGTATTAGTTCAATGGGCACAAAACGTGTTTAAGACGTCTAAAACACGTAGTAATACATGTTAATATAAGTTTTATACGTCTTAACCTGTTCACTGCCAACTACTAGAATACTTGCAGTATGATGGCATCATTTACTTGGTAACTAAGAGTATAGTCGTGGTTGATATTTGATATTTGCCAACTGCAAAAATACTCGTTGTAAGCCGGCGTCATAAGTTTGCCAAATACGAGTAAACTCGTAGTTATACTAACTTATTTCAAATAATATTTGTACATGACTGGCTTTGTCTTGTTTTTAATTTATTTATTGTCTCTGTAAAATGCATTTATTGTAAAAGTTCATATAATTGATAAAAGGGATACCAATCTAAATCAGTGGATCGTCTTATGGTGTGAACTTTTTATTTTTAAAATCTTAGTTTACAATTTTCAGTATTTTTTAGTATTTTATTTGTATGAATATGTTCTTTATAGGCATTTGTTTTGTTTTTAAATTTTTAGCAAGTTTAGCTTTAATGCAATGGGCGAAAGTGGATAGCAACACAGCTTTAAAAGACACTATATCTAGTCTTTATGAAATTAATAAAATGTGGTCAGTTGTCCAGATAGAGCTCGCTAATGAGGTATACTCATAAATGCAACTCTCAGAATTAGAAAAAATGTTTTTAAATTATTGCCAACTTTAAATTATTTTTGTATTTGTGCGTGTGTGTGTGTGTATATATATATATATATATATATATATATATATATATATATATATATATTTTATATATATATATATATATATATATATATATATATATATATATATCGCGAGGTTAGAATTATTTTGTTATCTCCACATTTTTTTGTTTCGAGATAAAACGATTTAAAAAATAAAAACTTTAGGAGACGGCATATAAAAAGATTTTTATTACTTATGTTTTCTCCGAAACTTTTTTGATTTTAACTTAGGTTTTAAAATAGTAGAAAAACATTATTTTGAGGTACATTACACAATTAGTAACTCATTTTTTTCAAAAAGTGGAGATAGACCAAAATAATTCTAACCTCGCGATATATATATATATATATATATATATATATATATATATATATATATATATATATATATATATATATATATATATATATATATATATATATATATATATACATATAGAAATTTCAAAAACAAAAATACTTATCTTATTAAATTTGGTGCAAATATATAGAAAGTAGATTTTAAAGCATACCGGGCAATTTCTGACAAGACTAGATCCTCCCTCAAGGTTAATTTTTGTAAAAAAAATGTCAGTTTTATTGTCAAAAGTTGCTGATTTCAGTGACGTCAAGGGAGGTTCCAATGTAAAACATGTTGGCTGAATTAAAAAAAATGGGCCTAGACTACATATATTTTGCATTTAAAATATTAAGTATTTTTGTTTTTGTTTTATTACCGAGCATTTAATATTCAAATTATCGGTAAATTCACAAAATTGGTGAGTTTGTTGTGATACTAAGAAAGCATTTGGAGTATTCAAATACATTTTTTTTAATGTAACAAAAATATTTTTTGGTTTAAAATATTGTACACAGCTTGCTACTTTAATTAGTTACGTATTTGAAGGTAAGTTTCCTTCACATTCTTCCATCCCCTTCCGCGTACCACTATATAAAGTTAATACTAAAGTTTCATATGAAATTATTTTTAAATAAAAAACAACTAAATGAAGCCATTTACATTGATTAAAATTTGATATTTAAATTTTTGATTTTGAATTTTAAAATTCAAAATAAAAATTTAAGTAGCTGAACAAGTATTGATAAGAGTTATCAGAAACACAAGATTTTGCGCAAAAACAGTTTGAGATCTTCTGTTAGAAATTTTTCATATTATGGATAAACCTACGTCTGCTATTTCAGGTATGTATTGCATAGAAATAAAAATAATGTATTGTAAATTACAATACATTATTTTTATTTCTATGCAATATTATAAAACTGAATAGATTACAATTTGTAATCTATTCAGTTTTATAATATTATGTTTTTACCTGAAAAGAGGTTTTTTTCATTAAAATAGATCATTAAAATGGATAAAATAGATCATTAAAACACATTTTCATCTCAATATCCACACCAATTCATCACACTATTATACTCTGTAAGATGAATAATGTGCGCTTATTTATACTATTATAGTATTAATATTATTATTTAAATAAAAACCTATATGGTTTAGGAATGCAACTTCCAACGGGTATGGATATCTTACAACACTTTAAATATTGTCGATCAAATTTCCCAAATGGAATTACAAAAAAGTTAAATATTCTACATTGTCCTCCAAAGTCCTTAAAGGTTGATAGGTGTTAACTAGTTGAATGCGAATGTATTATGGCGAAAATAAAACATCCATGGATTAAAGCAGGGTCTCCTGTCATTAATGACGTAAATATTCGAAAAAGTTCATTAATGACGTAAATATTCGAAAAAACAAAAATGTTCTAATTTATTAAAGAATGTCAAAAAAAACTTAAAACAAGATATTAAAAATCAAATAAGATTTGAATATTTTGTAAACGTATTTTTTGAATAGGAATTCCAGAACTAAAAAATTTTAATCAAAGTGACAAGCTAAGATCCAATGAATCTAAAATTAAAGATTTAAAAATCTTAGAAGATCTTGAAGGACCAAAACTATATTATTCGGGTCCTCTAGACATTCTTTAGTTTGTTATTTTATTTAATATGCTTTAAGTTTGTGTTTTTTCTCACTCTAACAACTTATAACTAATAAATTTATTTTTATATAAAGTAAAACTATTAAATATAAAAAATTGCAAAAATGCAATGAAAAATGGTTACCGAGTAGAATCTTATTTTTTTTCGAAGAAGACGTTAGCAGTAATAATGAACTAGTTTTAGATAACTTTTCTGATTCTGACTTCGAGCCAATCGAATGGATAAAAAGAAAAAATAAATCAACCAGTACACAAGTTCGGCCAAAATTCGTAAAGATATTTATTTAGGAAATGTTTCTTTAATGATAACTGTTAAAAACATCTCTCCTATGGTTCTGCAGAGAATTACTACGACAGTTGTTCAAGCTGCAGGAGTAGAAATGAACGCCATCAAATCAAGTCTTTAAATTACAGCTAGAAGAATTAAAAGAAAAATCAAAGAAATTTCAAAAATTGCTAAAGAAGATATTAAAAAAAAGTATGTGTATCTGAATTTCCATGTATAAATCATTTTCATGGAAAATTAAATTAAACAATTAAAGGAAAGAAACTAAAATGCGAGCGACTAGCTGTACTAGTAAATATTAATTGCAAATCACACTTGCTTGGTGTGCCTTCTTTACCATCCTCTTCAGGAGACGATCAATATAAAGGAATAATGTAGTTGCTAAATAAATATGGTATTAGATCAAATGTTGGTGAATTGTGCTTTGACACAACAGCAACAAATACCGGCATTACAAAAGAGACTTTTAATAGAATTACCTATGACTTAGGTAAACAAGTTCTCCAGCTTGTTTGCAGGCACCATGTTACAGAGCGTAGAATAAGTCATTTTCAGAAACATGTCACTCATGAAAAAAAGATAGGACGAAAAAATCTTTTTTTTAAAAGATTAAGAAATATGTTTGACAATCAAGAGTTTTATTATAATCTTGAAAACATAATAAGGTTTGATTTGTCATTAAAGGCTGGTACTGTAGTCAAAAAAGCAGCAAAAGATGCACTCAAATATTGCAAACATTAAAAAGAAAAATATTGCTAGGAAGACAGAAAAGAATTAGTAGGGCATGTAATCGTTTTTTTATCGAAATCAGAAATTGTTAAAATAACAAAAAAACAAGTGCAGTTCATCATGCAAGATTTCTTTGCTCAGCTCTTTATTATACAGAGTTACATCTGCTATCTAAACAACTGAAGTTATATCTGCTATCTAAACAACTGAAGTTACGTCTGCTATCTAAATAATTGAAGTTACATCTGCTATCTAAACAACTGAAGTTACATCTGCTATCTAAACAACTGAAGTTACATCTGCTATCTAAACAACTGAAGTTACATCTGCTATCTAAACAACTGAAGTTACATCTGCTATCTAAACAATTGAAGTTACATCTGCTATCTAAACAACTGAAGTTACATCTGCTATCTAAACAACTGAAGTTACGTCTGCTATCTAAACAACTGAAGTTACATCTGCTATCTAAACAACTGAAGTTACATCTGCTATCTAAACAACTGAAGTTACATCTGCTATCTAAACAATTGAAGTTACATCTGCTATCTAAACAACTGAAGTTACATCTGCTATCTAAACAATTGAAGTTACATCTGCTATCTAAACAACTGAAGTTACATCTGCTATCTAAACAACTGAAGTTACATCTGCTATCTAAACAACTGAAGTTACGTCTGCTATCTAAACAATTGAAGTTACATCTGCTATCTAAACAATTGAAGTTACATCTGCTATCTAAACAACTGAAGTTACATCTGCTATCTAAACAATTGAAGTTACATCTGCTATCTAAACAACTGAAGTTACATCTGCTATCTAAACAACTAGATTTTTTGATAAAAGAGGCAGACGTAAAATCTCAATAGAATTAATTGTGGAGTTTTTTGTTGTTTTTATGCTCCATGGTACTTGCAAAGCCACAATCCTATTAAAACCCCATACCTTGATATTACAGCTCTACATCAAATGACTCTGTATAAAGATGTTTGCCAAGTAAAAGAAGCTGTAGATAAAGTCATTGACTCAATATTAAAACACTATTGGTACTTAGATTTAACTTTGATACCTCTTTCGCTACTAGATTATAAAGTTCCTGATAAAGATAAAACACTAATCGCCAAATCAATTTTATTTTACAAAATTCTCTCTTAAAAGGCATCTGAATACAAAATTGAAAGTAAGCCGAAAGTGGATATCAAAGAGATAATTAACCTAGATAGCTCACTGGCTAGTAACCCACCAATTCGGCAGTGTTAGTTAACGATTTATTATACTTTGTTGTTGCAGTAAATGGGTTTACATAAAAGAGAATACGCGATTGATTGTCACTTCCACCGTCTTTTTGGCACACGTAATCATATTACAACCAGTTTTAGCCTATACAAAAACTTTGCTTATAGTAAACAATCATGCAGAAAAAGTTATATAGGAATGATGCAGAAGTTTATCCATAGATACATTAAGGAAGAAGAAAAACAAATGAGACTGTTAATCATAAACAGAGTTCGTTATATAATGAAAAAACCTGAAAAAAGCTCCAGCAAGAGGCCAAAAAGGAATATGGAAATAGGTTTAAATAACATTAATATTTTCAAAAAATTTAAAAGAGATTAGAAAACTTTTCTTTTTTTTTTTTGCAGTTTTTTTTGTAAGGTAAATAGAGAACCTAGTTTTTACCATAATTGGTGTGAAAACTTAAAACTTGATTTTTGCGTAAAAACTTGAATCAATTTTTAATTAGTAAAAAAATTAGGAGGGACCCAGGGTAGATAGGTAAGGGTTGAAGTAAGGCAAATACATTGCTTATTAAAGTAACAAGCGTCTTACAATACTATCAACTAAAAAATATTTTTATTACACATGGCCCTCCCGGGGAAGGACAAGGAAGCCGCCCCCCTTTTTTTATGAGGATGTTTTTTTCATATATATTATTGCATAATGGCGCCCCCGTTCACTTTGAAGGCCGGTTGAATGGTTGATTTTTATTAGAAAAAATATATTTGTATACTCCAAATGCTTTCTTAGTATCACAATAAACTCACCAATTTTGTGAATTTATGGATAATTTGAATAAGAAATGCTCGGTAAAAAAAACAAAACAAAAATACGCATGATTCAAAGTGAAAAATATATATAGTCAAGGCTCTTTTTTTTTAATTCAGCCAACATGTTTTATATTAGAACATCCCTTGACGTCACTGAAATCAGCCGTTTTTGACAATAAAATGGAGATTTTTTTTCACAAAAACGAACCTTGAGGGAGGGTCTAGATTAGTCAGAAAATGCTTGCACACCCCGGTGGAAGTAGGTTCAAACTAAAAAAAATGTCCCAGAGTCATGTGATACTTTTTTGGATCCGTACTGACATCTACTTTTAGAAAATAACACGATTGGAATAAAATTTAGAGGTCCAAGAAAAAAAAAGACATTTTTGTATACCGAAAAAGCCAGTATTTTTCCTTGTATATCCATTAAGTAATTTATTCGATCATGAATTGTTCGATGACTATTTTAAAAGCTTTAAAATATTCACAATAGACATAGCTTTTATTTGTTAATAATTTATATGTTCTCATATAAATTATGGTTCTTAACTTATTTTGCAAACATTTTTAACTAACTTTATTCCCTAATTTTTCAAAAAGCAATGCTGATGTATTGCCCAAGTTTATTATTTTTATAAGGAGGATTAAAAATGATGGAATATTTATATTATATAAAGTATTTAATTATTTGCTATGACAAATGAAATCATATTAGGACCTTGATATTTAAATACATATGAATTACAAATATAAGATTAAAAATATGTATAAGTCTTCTAAAAACATAAAAGTCTTCTTTAAAATTAAATTTTAAAATATGTTTGTCTACTTTTATAAATAATAACCGATCTCAGCAGTTTTGGTTAATACAATTTGTGACAACTTGGAACTTTGTATCCTTGCTCATATAACTATTTGAAGTCATAATGAATAGATTCAGAAGCCTAATCTGACCGAAAACCAAGTCGTTTTCGAGGGTATTTGTCAGCCATTGATTCCAAAAAAGCTGGTACATGGATAACTAGAGCGTGTACTTTTGGTGATACTTTTTTGTTCAATGCCATAAATGCTTCCTTGTAGGAATTGATGTCATTCTTGTAAGACATGTCTAAACTTAGACGAAAGCAAGTTTTCTTCACATTATTTAGTGCTTTCATTGCACACATAAGTTTTATCAATTCATGAAGCTCCATGAAATAAAGCTCCATTGGAGGAAGGATTTCTGCAACAGACGGATCATCTGGTAGGTCTATCAAAGGAGGTCTATCAAAGGTTTGGACACAATTCTTAAATGGTGCAGCCGAGAGTTTACTTTTTTTTCTGTGATTCTCACAAGCTTTTTTGTACTTCTTTGCATTAACTCTAATTATACTAAGTCTTCTGGAAAAAAAGTAGAATAAAATCGCAAATTAAAAAAATATTTAGAATAATGTTTTGACTTTTAAAAAATAAATCAATTATAATGCCTACTAATTATAATTACCTTATGAGGCCACAGGTTTTGAAATTCTGCACGTCTTGCTTTGAAAATTCACACAAACTGCAGGGATGAGTAGGAGAAGCAGCTTCATTTCCGAAATAAATATTCCCCAGCTTTAAGCCAAATGCTAAATAATACTTATTAGTCGCAATTCCCAATATTTCTATGATTTGCCTAATCTTTTGGTCATTCTCTTCAACATCGGGCATTTCAACCAGATAAATTTGAGTTATCAGCAAAAAGAGCCACTTTAGATGTAAAGTTGTCAAAATGATCATTAGTGTAGATGAGAAACAAAACAGGAACAAAGGTATCTCAGAAGTTACTGGGAATGTTCTATGCAGATGACTTGAACAAAGTGGTTGGAAACAAAAGATTTCATAATTTTAAGAATTTTTCTATTCGCACCATATGAAGCAAGCTTATAAAGAAGACAAACAAATCTTTATCGAAAGCTTTATTTATATCATGAGCAATATCCCTAGCCTTGCCGCCTCCATGAAATGCACGATAAAAGTTTTAATCACAGCATTTATTAAATCAGCAATAACACAATACTTAAAGAGCAAGGCTGATAAGCAGGGAGAAGCAAGTTGATTGCGGTGCTGCTAGAGACATGGTTTGAATCGAACTTAGATTTTCTCCCTTATGAGGCAAGCGCTTTACCAATAGCACTTAACACTTTTATAAGACTATGACAGAAATTCTGTCTAGACCACAGGCTGTAGATGAATTTAATTTAAATATGTTTTTGGCAACAGACATTGACGTGATTTAAGTATTTAGCAATGAGTTAACATGTTTAAATTGAATAGAAGAGTATGACCACATAATTCAAGAGCCGAATTAAAAGAAAAGTTTTTTGCAATTAGTTAAGTTTTGCCTTGGCAGAGGAAATAAAATCAGCACCATGAATGAGAGATGGAGTATTAGACCAATCTTTTTTAAAGGCGCTGTTAAAGATTTTCCAAAAGTCTCTTGAGGCTAACATCTAAGATAAGATGCAAGATTTAGTGAACTAAGAATAACGGAGCTTACCATTAGACAGCACATTTTTGAATTAATTTATTGAAACAACAAAATGGCGTTTGATCACAAAGAAGTAATTCTTTAAATGATTGCGATTAGAAAGAAAAGCTGCAGAAGAAGGAGAAAACCATAGAATGAAACAAGGCTCGACTTGGGAACGACTAAAAGTTTCCATTCCTGTCTGGATTCTGGGGGTTAGGTAGGAGGCGTTTTTAACACATCAGCCTATAGGGCGTCACGAAGAAATTCAGGAAAAGAGTCATAGTCTTCTTTAGGGAGCTAGTAAGTATAGTAATGATATAATAAGTCCGCAGAAAAAAAACGTTATTAAAGGTTATAGAGATCATTGCATAGTCAGAACCACCTTAAGTAGAAGAAGTAGAAATTGAAAAAAATGCTAGATTCAGACTTAAGACAGAAATGAAGGAGTAATAGGCATCTAAATAGGGTCTGTCTGGAAATAAGCCAAAAAGTTAATCATATAAGTGAGAAATTGAGAAACGCATAAGTTGTAGGCTTTAGTACCAGCGGAGTTTTTGTTGTTAGAGCATTCAGTGTGATGAGCATTTTAATAGCAACGGTATTGGCAGAGGAGTTGAGAAAGAGGCCATCGTCAATTAAATCAGAATTTACGTCTAAAAGAGTGCTGTCTTGGAAAGATGGGGAACAATAAAAAAAAAAAGTGAAAAGGTGAAGCACACAAAAAAAGTGAGGAGGCCGAAGCACACAAAATAATGGTCAAAGCATTCAAACTTGATTTTAAAACAAGTATATAAATTGATGCATATTTATACCCCCAAACCAAGTATGTGAATATAGTAGTCTTTATAAATCAAAGGATAGTACCCATCAATACTCAGATCTGAAAAAGGAACAGAAGAATTTTAATTAGTTACTAAATATAAAATCCTTAATACAAGATCTCTTATAATAATTATATTATCATTTTGATGCAGTCAATTTTCAGTAATGAATTATTTTGCAGTGCAAATAATCTTTTGCTCGTTATTTTTTGAGATTACGAAAATGATTGTTTTTCAATTATATTTATCTGTACCTTCTTTTTCTTTCTTCTTTGTTTCTTTTTATAACTTTCCTAACTTGAACAAAATTTATTATTACAATAACTAATACAATAAAACTTATAAACTATAATATTACTAGACTGCAAAAAAATAGTCCAATTGATCTACAAAACAAATATAAACTAAAAACTAGAAACAATTATCAGATGGCAAAAGCAAATATTGTTTTCAACTGATTTAAATAGACTATAATATAAAACTAGACCATTACATTGATATATTTTATTAAGCAAACATAAACAAAGTAAATTATATGTATAAAATAAATTAAAATAAATCAAGATACAAATATAAAGATATAGAACATTAGAGAGAATTTTTTAAATTGCTGTTATATAGTAATTTTTTTAATATTGTTTTAATTTGTACTGCACCGCTTTTATAAGTTAAATTTTTTTTTTATATAGACAAAACAGTTTCAATTTGATCTGAAAAATATTCTTAAAGGCGAAGCTGAACTAGAAGCAATACAAAATCAAATCAAAGATCATACAGAAAAAAAGAAGTTTGTATGTTGCTATAAATTCCTGCTATATATAAAAACATTAAACAGACTCTGTATGAGTTGAATTTATATATGCATGTGTGTATTTATTTATATATACATAAATACATACATTTATACATACACACATACATACATACATACATACATACATACATACATACATACATACATTAAAGGTCATAGCAGCTAAAAAACAAACAAAGCTTATATTTGAGTAACAAAAGGTGAATGAAAAAATAAAACAAGATAATTCCCATCAATAATTTTAAATGCAAAATATCCACTACTCTTACTAAATTGGATAATGTGAGATTTAATAAAGAAACTTAATAAGATCTTTATTTTTACAAGGTCTATTCTGAACTCTGTACACACTTACTTAAATTTTTCCAAACAATAACAGGTAACAAACATGCTTATCTAAGAAACTAGCATTTAAATCATGCCAAAATCCTAAGAAACTTCAAAATAAACCAAACTTACACAAAAACTAAAAATGTAAATAAAAAATAAAAATATACAAAACTGAAGACATCAACTATAAAGACTAAACAATTTCTGCCCCCCAAAATTTCAAAATACAATTATAAACCATAAATTTTGTCAAAACATGGTAAAATTAATTTTTTCACTACTTGACGATGATTGCGATAACACAAAAAATTCAGAGTTCTAATAGCAAGTTAAATAATTACGAGTTTAGCTAAATACAGGTAAGAATGGAATTTGTACAAAATGACGATAAAAAAAAAGTATTCAAATACATATTTACATAATAGGGTGTTCAAAAAAAAATTATTATATATTATTTTACAATAGTCTAATATCTGGAATACATGAATTCAGAAGTAAAAATACATGAACAGTTTTATTAGGTGCCATTTTAAAATTAATTTATTTAAAAGTTATTTTAGTTTGCTTTATATATTAAACATTAAACTTAAACTAAAATACATTAAAACTTCATAATGCATTAGAAAATCTTAAAGTAGTGAAAATCATTCTGAATTTGAATATAGCATATATGAAACATAACCTGATTTGATGACAAATGGTTAAATTGACGCAAATGTATACCCCGAAGCAAACCATGAGACTATCAAAGTATGGTAACTATTAATATTAAGATCTGAAGAAAAAGCAGCCGAATATAAACTATTCTTGCATAGGAAAAGCAAGTCTGGTGAATTTTGTTTAAAGTGAGATTTGATTGATAAAAGATTGCTTTGCAGACTACGATTTGTTGAAAAGAATATATTAAAACAGGTAGATGGTTGGGTTTCTTTTTATGTTTAATACTTAAAGTTACTTTTAACATGATTTAAGTTTAAAGATAACTTGACTCATTCATAAATAGAACGCAGCATCCAAAGCAATGGGATATGTAGTTGTCTCAATCCTGCTAATTAACCCAAAGTAACTTTGGACACCTTATATGGATTCAAAAATGCGCACCGTAAAAATTATTAACGACACCATCCATTCGCTCCATGACACTGTTGTTACTTTATTACTTTCAGCGGTTGACAGAATTAGCCTCTCTGAGAGCTACCAAGTTCAGAAACCTTACTAAGAGCTGGTAACAAGGTTTCTTAACTACGCTGTTTAAACCCCACCTCTGGGCAAGTTTTGCGACATCAACTAGAAAGGGAGTATGAACTTCCAAATAAATATTCATCCGCGGTGCTCTGTAATAAGACCGTAAAGGCTTCTTGAGGCACCTAAATAAAAAAATAAAATAAAAAATACGCTGGCTTCAGAACCAATATAAAGATTTTTAGAGCTGTACCTTCATTAGGAGATAACTGTAAGAGTTGCAAGAGTGCGAGTGGGGTGATCATAATGATTCTAAACCTAACCTGATCTGATATATTAGAAAGAGGTCACTTCCTCTAAGCAAAAATTTAAAACATAGATAGGAATATTTTTGAAATTTTACAGTAAACATATAATATATTTATAATTATTACCTAGTTATGTATTTATCGACAAATTTCAAATTTTATATTTATTATTATTCAGTGTTCAGTTATTATAACCATGTAAAGAAATCCCCCCCCCCCCTTCAGTTTAGAGGGCAACGAACTTTACATGATCATAAAAACTGAACACTGAATAATTTAAACATAAAATTTGAAATCTACTGATGAATACATAACTAGTTTTTATTTATGAAAAAATAAATAATTCAACTCATTAATTCAACTCATTAGCATATGTTATTATATTTATATCTTCGTAACTTAAATCTATATTGTTGGTAATGTCAAAATACAAAAGATTCTAATATTTTTATTAAATGAACTAAAAAAACTACAAATAATTTGTAGTTATTTTGCTTAATTGCATAGCTGTTTTGGTATTGCACGACTTCGATAATTACACTAACAAATGCTTTTCTAAAAAAAACTGTAGCAAAAAATAAAAAAAAAGTAGGATCAGTGCTAATTTGTGAAAAATTTATTTTAATTTGTGTTGCTAAATTGATTATAAGACTTTTTATCATCATTCATAAAATATGTCTTAGATTATTCGGATAAAATCATACATCGGAACGCTATTTTTTTTTGCGTATTGCGTATTGAGTATTATACTCAGATCATACTCATTACGCAACTCATCACACGCATTTTTTTGACTATAATACTCAGTACGCAACCTATCGTACCTATTTTTGTTAAGTAGAATACTCAATACACAACTCACATTACGTATTTTTTTTGAGTATTTTGGGAAAAAATTTTTTGAGTGTAAAATAGAACTTTGTTTTTCAGTAATGTGATGTTTTATTTTAATGCATTTAAATCAGAAAAAGGAAACAAGAAAATAAAAGTAAAAATTCATAATAGGTTTCAAAATTCTAATTGCATCTCAGAAACAAAACAATAATTAAGAAAATTATCTACAAACGAATAAATAAAATATTTTTATTCAGCCAGTTCATTGAGTGTGGCTAAGTTACTTTTGAAAAAAGCACAATTTATTAAAAATGCGTTCAACATATGCCGAGGATGTCGGTATTTTGTAAAATATAAGACATAAATTACGAAGATACGGTAATTCATTTCTTTTATCAAACCAAAATGCATTATACTGAGTTTTGTTGGTAAAAGTATGGTTTCTTAGAATATTTATGAAGGTATCTCTTTCTTTGTCAGCTAAGAGTTCAATGCTGAGTTCTGTTTTGATGTATTCTATCTGATTTGGTAAAACTGATCAAAGGCTTCATCGTCAGGCACAATTTATTGAGTGAAACTATTTTTAGCATTTGCAGTCAAATCATTTTTTTCATTTTTTTTGTTAAACTCAATTGCCAAGTTTACTAATAAGCTTAGGCTTAAATTGACTGTGGCTTTGGCTATCGGTCTTTAATACCAGAAGTAAAGTTTAGAAACATTTAAAACTGCAGCAGCTGCATAAACAATAGGGGTAAGCTCATTATCAAACTGTTTTTTTACATTTTTTATTAATAGTTCGCAAAAACTTGTCTTTTTTTCGTCTTTTTTAGCCATGTCCTTATAATGCAGTTATAACAAATGTAAACCTGGTACCAAATCACCGATATGTACGCGACTTTTCTGATTTAAAAGTGTAAATCTTTATTCGGGGAGCATCATTGATAAAGAGAATTCAATCTCTGCTTGAGTAACTGGATATTTTAATGTTTCAAAGCAATTTTTTTGATATGCTTTATAAAAACAATTCAACATTATAAAAATAAAGTTGATCCTGAAGCTTGATGACCAACGAGTTAAATTTTCATTTCTTAATTTTTTTTTTTTTTTTTTTGAAATATTCGAGCAATTTCAATTGTCTGATGAGTCTTTTTAGCAAATGAACAAAGCAATGACAAAGCAGTTTTCAATCGTTTGCATGACCTCACAGTATTACGTATAGAAATATTAAATTTGTGGTTTTTGCATGCAAATCGATGGACTTTTCTGCTACCGAGTTCAAACTCTAATTGATTGATAATACTATGATCCCCAAACTCATAATTTTCAGTATCATCAACTCCAGTAGCATCAACTTCAGCGTCATTTATTTCCTCAGTAAGCAATTCGTTTGCTTTCGGATCTATTTTATTTTTAGGTGAATCTTTCAATTCCTGGTCATTCTCATCGCTATCATCATTTTCAAACAAGTCTTCCAAAATTCTTCTTTAATCCAATTACCGATTTCTAGGTCAGAAATTAGCATTTAAGGAAAAGCTCTAAGAAAAGCTTTACCACTATCGCTTACATAACCATCAACTTTAGATTCATCAAAATCATATTGATTTAATATTTTTTCGGAAATTAATATAATATTTTCAGCATTATGTGGGTCATTCATTCGTTGAAGACCAAGAACTATTAGCTTTTTACTGAAATCGGCAAAAGTAACCTGGCAGCATAAGGCAAAAAAATCAGCCATTAGACGGCTATCCCAGACGTCAGTTATTAATGTAACAGTTTTGGCCTTTCTAAGATAGATCGTGATTGTTTTTTTTTTATCTTTTCAATTACATTAAGAATTATATTATAGACAAAAGACTTTCCACATGGTAAATGAACTTTATGACGCTCTAAAAGTCTTTTTAGATGCAAGTTACCCAGCTCTTGGGTTGCCATATTGGATGATATTACTTATTTAGTTAGATCCATGATATTGCCATTTAAGCGCGAATCATCTTCGTTATTAAAACTTACATTATAAACCTTTTTGCAAGCCATAAAATCCTCTTTGCCGTTACATTGTGTTTAATTAAAATGCTTAAAAAAATTACCACTTTTACCAAGTGGTTCATGTAATACTTTAAAGCAATAAATGCAAGTAAACTGTAGTTTTTCTTTTTTTCCAGGCTTAGAATCAATTTCTGTTCGATAATGAATTCGATAAAAGTTCAAAACTGAGCTGTAAGTTTTTTCAGTGTTACCAAACTTGAAAATTTTACGCGGAAACTTGTTGTTTTTTAAGTTGTGTCAAATTTCATCAATCTCTTCAGCACATAGTTTAAAACATAAGCTTTTGCTGCACAAGGGTTGGTCTTGTTTTTTTGAAATTGATTATTCACTTAAGGCACTATCATATTTATTAGCGAGTATTTGTTTATTTACAGGCAGATTTTCTTTATCTTCTTTATTATATCTCTTTTTTTTTTTCTAGAACTATTTACAGTTAAGTCTAAACCTTTTTTTCTTTTAGCGTATCTTTTAGACATATCAAAGCAAAAAATCTATAATAAAACTTCAAACTAAAAAAATTAAACATTCAAACAATATTATTAAAAAAGAATTAGCTTAAACTACCTTGTATAAATAAATGGAAACTAAGATTCAAATGTTTCATTTTAATTATTAACCTAAATATTAAATTCAAATTATATTATTTGTTTATTATAAATAGAAATACAATTATTTACATCTAATTAGCTTCTTTTTTTCCCTAATTATTTAAACACGTCAAGCCATTGTGTCAAATACGACGCTTTACATGCTTACTAACAGCCTAAAAAACGTTGTTCAAAATAAATTACTTCAAAGGAAAATTTCTATTTACATTACTACCCTCAAAAACGTTGCGTATTTTTATGCAAAATACTCAAAAATAATACGTAAGGTGAGTTGCGTACTAAGTATTCTACTTAACAAAAATAGGTAAGATAGGTTGCGTACTGAGTAATATAGTCAAAAAAATGAGTGTGATGAGTACGCAATAAGCAAAAGAAAAAGCGTTCTGATGTATAATTTCTTATATTTTATTATAAAAAAGAAAACTTTATTATCCTACAAAAGCTCTAAATAAATATTTTTAAACAAAGCATGTTTAATCAATAGATTATTAACATGACATTAGATAAAAACTTTGTATGATAACTTATCTCCTCTAAATTTCTACTAATAATTGAAAAGGTAACTCTCAGCATATTTTGGACTCAATTTTAATCCGATCTAACAATATCTTTTTTTCTGTTATATATGTAAAGTCCTTTTTATAAAAGTTTAAAACCTTTAGTGCAGCCTTCTGAACTGTTTAAACATAGAACTATATTAGGATATATTTAAATAAAAGTAACAAAAACATATAAATAATATTTATATGCTTTTGTTACTTCTATTTAAATATATCTTAATGCGCAACGCATTATAGAAATAAATAGTAATAATATTATTTATAATAGTAATAATTATAAAAATAATATTGATAATAAAAATAATAATAATAATAATAATAATAATAATTATAATAATAATAATAAAAGTAATAAAGATAATAAATAAAAGCTATTAACTTGATTACTCTGAAAAATATTACAAATATCGATTTAAAAAACCTTTCTTTAATCAAACAATACTTAAAATAAGATCAGAATATATTCCTCCTATTTGGGTTCAAGGCTGTACTCTTTATCAAGATCCGTTATACGAATGGAAAAACTAGTTACTAGATGATGATGCTAAAGGAGGTGCTCCAAGAAGGTGCATTATGTTTTAGGTGCTCCAAGAAGGTGCATTATGTTAACAGCAACTATATCAATTAGATTTTTTTTTTCTTTGTTCAATTCAGTTAATGTGTGCCATCAAAACGCATTATTGATATCATGTTGAACATGCCTTTTTTTGCTACCATTCATAGATTATAATTGCAGAAATTGGCTTGAGGTCTAAACTTTATTTGCTATTTGAATTAAATTTGAAATGGCAAAATGAACAAAATGGTTCCAAACGACAAGTTTTTAATGCTTATTTCGAAGCAAACTGTACAGTTTTTTGGGCTTGTTGATTTGGCATTTTAAATTCTTACTTAAACAAAAAAATCAAATAGTTTATATACCGCTTGATTAAGGAAAGATAGAATTTTAATTTGTAACAAAATACTTTAACACTAAATTAATTTTTTTATCAAGCTTATTAATTAAATATTGCTCGTTAAAGCTAGTCTCAAGTTTTATGGCACAGATGTTACTTATAAAATGGTATGATTCTATTTATAAAATGATATGATTCTACTTATATAATGGTATGATTTTATTTGGAATTTTGAAATAGTGGAAATTAAACAAGTTCAATGAAAAATTGGTTATTGTATAATAACCAATTATACAATATTACTCTACAACCAATATGTATATTGGTTATTATATAATGTATATATATATATATATATATATATATATATATATATATATATATATATATATATATATATATATATATATTATATTCATATATATCTTTATCATATATCATCGTCATCATCATCATTTTCTATCAACAGTCATTTTAGAGGTATAATTGTCGGGAAAATCATTAATATTGATAAATACTATATAAAAATATTATATCAGAAACTTTATTGCTTTAGTCTTAAAATTATTTTCATCCTTGATTCCTTGAAATTTTAACAAGAACTACTACTAAGAAATTTATATATATATATATATATATATATATATATATATATATATATATATATATATATATATATATATATATATATATATATATATTTATATATATTTATTTATTTATATATTAAAATTTAGTAATATTTAATAAGAATTTTTATATTAATGCATTGCGCTTGTAGATAATTGAATCTGAAGATTTCAAGAAATTCGACAAGAGTACTGAAAACTATCTTAAAAAGGTATTTATTTTTATTATTCCTTTATTTCATTGTAAACCTTATTACATTGTTTATGAAATTTGAATAATTTCGTTATTTTAATATATAATTTCAAAATAATTATAATTATCTTGATTAATTATGTTACCTTGCTATAATTTTTATTAAAAATTATCTGATTGAAGATTACATTTCAAGTATAATAACATTGTTTGAAATAATTAGTTATAAAAAAAAATTGAGCTTTTTGTATCAAATTAATTTCTTCTCAGAAAAATATTAGAATATTTTTTTGTTTAAAGCAGTGTTTCTTACCCGGGCATTACCATACCCGTTTATTTTTTCTTTTTTTCCCCGTAACTTTACCGTTGATTATTTCAAATTTACCCGGGTAATATCAGGTAATTTTAAATTTTATAATTTTTGCAAAAGTTATTTCTGTAAAATGAACATTTTTGGCTGTGATTAATTTTTCAAAGACATTTAATTTTATGAATAAAGTTTTTTAAACTCATCTTAATTGAATTCGTTGAGGTTTTTCGGTATAGTCCGTATATATATATATATATATATATATATATATATATATATATATATATATATATATATATATATATATATATATATATATATATATATATATATATACATATATATATATATATATACATATATATATATATATATATATATATATATATATATATATATATATATATATATATATATATATATATATATATATATATATATATATATATATATATCATATCAAGAAACTATTAGTACCTAGTAACTTTTCGATAAGAAACTTATTTTATTAGGCGTTTGAGTTGTAAGTTTCCACCTGGATTTCATGAACTGGTACCTGGGTGGTACCAGTGTTAAGATGAAATTCTGAACAAAAGACCAGTCCCATTCATGTTTGTGCTAGTAGTATACTTTATAAATCTCAAAAGATAAAAAATGATTTAAATCATGAAAAAACTGAAGAGAAAGAGGATTATGAGAAACAAACCTGGTTTCTGATATTGGTGCTATTGTTGCTAAAATTTGTAAAATTGTTAAAGTCTTCAGAAAGTTCCGATTCGGTAATCATAACAATCTTCAACCTTAAAACATTCAGTCTTTTCGATAGTGAAAAAATTTATTTTTAGATTCTAACGCGCTGGAATAGCCTTATTAAAATGCTACGAAGACTTTATAAAGTTTGTAAAGAAGTTTAAGTAGCAATAATCCATCCTGGACAAGAATTTGATATTTTCGATAAAAAACTATAGAATATTAAAGAATGCAATAAGACTATGCAATGCTCTTGCTCCCATTGAGATGACTTTTGAACAATTATGCAAAGAAGATGATGATCTTGCTTGCTGAAAAATTGACTGAATTTGCTGCTAAGAAGCATAAAGCTCAAAGAATCATTTTGAAGCTTAAATTCAAAAAATAAAATAACAGTTCTGGCTAATTTATTTTTATACAGACTTTACCCTCAAAAAGCATGTGAAGAGCTACCAGTTGATTTTGAAGTAACTTGTACAGCTGATCAAACATAAAAATTTATAAAAAAAATCTTTTTTAGATGAACTCGCTTCTTCTATTTAACAAAAAGAGCATGAAGCTATCACCATAAATAAGATTGGATCTTAGGTTTTTATTGGATTTAAGGTTTTGGTTGGATCTATGGTTTTGATTGGATCTAAGGTTTTGATAAAAGAGAAAATTTTTTAAAGCTTTAATAACTGGTAAACCAACATCAGTGGAGCTTGGGAACGAGCTTTTTTAGCCTTTTTTAGATTTTTTACCACGAAAACAAGAAATAGATTGGGAGCGATACCCTTGATACTTTGATTTTAATGTGTCAGTTCTAGAAAAAACTTTTTAGAAAAATATAGTTTAAAGATAAAGTGATAAAACTTCTTCATTTTATTTTTTTAGCAAATTCATCTGAAGGAGAAGAACTTCTTTTTTTTTTAAATCAAAATTGAATAAGAAAGATCTAATTCATAAAGCTTAACCGGGTAATACCCGGGTATTACCCTGGTATATTTAAAACTACGCTTTACACGGGTAAATATTTTTGGCCGGGTAATGGAAACTGCTTTAAAGTAGATATCTTTTATATCATACATATTTATCTTGAGCTTGAAGAAAATATTGTGGAAGGAACTTCTGCTTTAAAATCAAAAAAATTTCAAGCTGAGATTTATAAGGTAAATTTATTATATCAAATTGCTTTTTATTTATTTACTTTATTTTTGTATTTTTTTGTTTATAAATTACTTTGACTTAATAAAAAGTCGGATAAAAACTAAATTTTCTTTTCATTTAGTTAAACTATTGAAATATAAAATGAGCATATTTTATATTTATTATTTATACTTCTTATTTGAAACTTTTGTCACAAGGTGTATATGTAAATCTTGTAATAAAAGTTCCAAATAAGACAGTAGACTATGTTTTCTATTATTTATGTAGTTTGTGCACTTGTAATTACGTACATATTTAAATTACATGTTATACATGTGTACAAAGTTTGTTCACACGTATAACATGTAAATTATGATGACCACTTTTTGTAAACTACTTCATATCTTATACTACTTTAGATAACTAGTCTTATTTTGTTGAATTATTATGCCAATTTAAAAATAATAAGAAACCAAGAAAATACACCCTAAATAATATACTGACAAAGAAAAAATTTAAGTTGCCCTTACTATTTCAAGAACGATCATAAAAATATAAAAATTCACGTTTAAAGATATTTTTACTAAATCTTAGATATTGGTTTGAAGTCTACAATAAATTTGACAACTTTAATATTTGGTAACTTAAAATTATGACAAAAAACAAATTATAATAAAGGTCAAAGTTATATGAAACTAATACTTAATACATATAAAAATTGCAAATTTTTAATTTTCTTTTGATAAGTTTTTAATTTATTTTCAGTAGTTTACAAATTACAAAATAATATAGCAAATATTTTCAAAAAATGATAATAATAATAAATATAATAACTGGCTGTCATGAACCGTACAATATGGTTTTTGGTAAATCTGTGCCATACCCGACTATATCTAAACTTATTCTTAATTTGGTCTTCTTACATCAAAAAACTTTAATAAACAGTAGAAAATCAATCAATTTAAAACTTTTAGCTTTTTTTAAAATTCTTGGCTCTTTGGCTTGGTTTTAACATTGATGACAGTTACTTGATATTTCTTCTTGTGTTTTAGGAAACTTAAGATTTAAAAAAAAAGAGTAATAAATTAATTCTTTAACTTTTTCTTTAAAAATTATTTAAAATACAAAAGAAGACACATAAAGCGGGTCCTAGTTATGTCTCTATCGGTTTGACTTTATTTTATAGAATCTCTTGTGTAAAGAATATATCCATACGAAGCAATAATTTCAATGAGAAAATATAAAATTTAACGTGAGAAACAAAAAACATATTTTTCTTGAATTAAAATGAAAACGCTAATACACTTTTTCAAAAATAAAATTATAAAAAATTATACTTTACAAGCGCTGTTAAAACCGGTGTGATGGTAAACTCGTTCCATAACCAGCTATTTTCTAAACCGGTACGATGATAAATTTGTTCCACAACCGACTAACCGGCTACTTAATTTGCTTTCTTTACTTCAATAAATTTAAACTTACGGCAGAAGATAAATCTTTATGAAATTGTTAACTTTTGGTTAACAATTAACTATAATAGTTTACTTTAAAATTGTTTACGTAACTAAAGTATCTTTAAGAGAGATTTTATTTGCGTAACATTTCTTCCAGTGTTTTTAGAGGCTGTGATTTAATTTTTTAAGGCTTTAATTTTCTAAGGCTGTAATAAAAATTTATTGAATAATATTTTTAAAGCCTCCTCTCATTAAGATTTTTTTATAAAGCAAATTAATACAGAGAAACCACGGATACCAGTTACGTCATATCTGTGCATTTTATTTCCCAGTAAGCACAGATCGTTTTTAAAACGTTTAAAAAACGTTAATATTCGTTTTTTTAAGTTTTTTAAACGTTTTAAAAACGTCCTGTGCTTACTGGGTTGTTTTCCATTTCTTATAAAAACTTTTCTGCAACTCATAACATATTCTTTCATTTAAGCTGTTTTTAATAACGTGCTTTGCAAATTATTCAAATATCAAAAGTATACTTTATGAGAATGAAAATATCTAGATCAGTAATCCCCTAAGTGATTAAAGTAATAATATATTCCATTTACATATAGAAATAACGGAAAAATATAAAATTAAAGCAAAAATGGCCAGTACATCTATACTAAAATTATTTCAAAGATAAAAAATATAAAGTATATGTGAAAAACAAAAACATTTTTCTTGAGGTAAAACAAATAATTTCTTTGTTTATTACAAAAAATTATACTTAAGCTAAAAAGTATCAAAAATACTTATGAAAGCAACATAAGTAACATTGTTTAATTATTCTATATATTTTAGTAAACGCTATAAATATTAACGAACCTTCGTTTAAGCTTTTAGAAAACAATCAACATTCGGAACATTTCTTAAATTACTCTATGTAGTACTCTATGTAAAACTTTCAAAAATCAGTATATTTGAAAACTCAAATATGTGAGTAAGTAAATAAGAAATAAGAAACTTTCTTTTCATTTTTCTCATTTTTAACACGTTAAGGTGAGCCAAGTCTAAACATAAAAAGTAACAACAATTTATAAATAGCATAAGATGCTACAGTAAACTCTAAATAACTCACACCTCCAAGGTGACTAAGAAACTAGTTTTTTAGAGAATATTAGAGTAATTGGGAGTATTATTAATAAATGATAATAATAGTAATAATAATAATAATAATAATAATAATAATAACAATAATAATAATAATAATAATAATATATATATATATATATATATATATATATATATATATATATATATATATATATATATATATATATATATATATATATATATATATATATATATATATATATATATATATATATATATACACATATATATACAAATATACATATATACACATTTTTTTTTATTATTTTACTTTTAATGACGCATATAATATTTTATTATTAATTTGATATTAATAACCCTTGCCTCAAATATATTCAAAGTAACATAATAAACTGAACTTTAGAGATTGCTTCTCTAAAATTCTTTAAAATAATTCTCTCTTAAATTATCTCAGGTAATCTTTCTTTTTTTTTTTTCATAATTTTGAAAGAATAATTTACGTAATACAAACTGGTTAATTTATTAGTTGTTTTAGTAGAAACCAGTGCTTTTTATTTAGTAGGTAACAGCAATTAATTTGAGTATTGAATGAATAAGTAAAATTTTTGATCAAATGTTTTTGACATAAACGATACTTAAACTAAATAGTAAAAATAAGTTATTTTTAAAATCAGTAGCTTTGTAATATTAGTTTAATATCAGTTTATAATAAAAAAAAGCAAAAAGTTATAGATTGTTGCCATAGTTATTATTATTTTTTCGAGACGCAATGAAGAGAACTAATCTATTTCGGTTGCAGAGTAGTTCAGATTCATTCTATACAGCATCGAAGAACGAAAATTTTGCTGATAAACCTTCAACTAGTTTTACTGCTTTTATTAATATTGCTATTCAACATGTTGAACATGAGAAATCAGACCTACAAGACAAAGACATAGACGGAGAAAAGCAGAAAAGGAATGATATCTCACTTGACATAGTTATGCCTGTTTCAGAAAATGAACAGAATTTAAGTGAGATTCTACCTGACTCTGCATCCACTAAAATTAGCCGAACATGTTTAAGTCAGATTTTAAATACTGGATTTATTAATGACATTGGAAACTTTTTCGTTACAACTACTGATGATATAACTATAAAAACCTGTTAGAATTGCCGTGGAAACCATCAACTGACTACAAAATGCCGCATTCAGTTCAGATTAAAAAAAAAAATAATAAGCGAGAAAAGCGATATCTTAATCATTCTCATTTGGAAAAATACAAATGGTTAGTATATTCAGATAGAAAAAATAGACTATACTGCAAATACTGTGCCTTATCTTCATACCACCGGACTGCGGGATCTTACAAACAAGTTGCACTTCAGAAGCTAGTTAGCAACCATTACAGGTGTTTGGTATACTGTTTGGCAGGGACGGAGATCTATTAAGTCACGAAAAAACAACAAAGCTGTTGAAGCAGGAAGGTATTTTTTTAAAAAACTATAATAAACCGGCAATGGATGTTGTAACAGAATAAACACTCAACGGCTTCAACAGGTTTTAGAAAATCGTCAACAATTGACAAATATTGTGGAAACAATTATATTTTTAGGAAGGCAAAATTTTCCTTTTAGAGGCCACAGAGATGATGGCAGCTTATTAGACATAGACGAGACGATTCTAATGTAATTAAAAATGAAGTTAATTTTTGAGAGTTGCTAAAATTTAGAATTAAATGTGGCAATTTAAATTTAGAAAATCATTTAAAAACAGCTAGAGCTTCTGCAACATATATTAGCAAAACTACCCAAAATGCTTTAATTGAATGCTGTGGAGAAGAAATATGTGAACAAATTGTAAGTCGTGTTAGAGAATCATATTTTTATGCTATTATGTTTGACAAAACAACTGATGCATCACATCAGTCACATATGACAACAATACTACGCTATTTGATGGCTGATGGACCAGTTCGAGAAGATTTTGTTGGATTTGTTGATTTGCATGATAAAAATCATCAAACCAAAAGTAATGCAACTATTTACAATAAACCTATTCTTGACGGCAAAGCCATTGGTCAATCTGTTATAAACATGTTGGAAAAAAAGTTGCGCCTTTCTTTAGAAAAATGTGTCGGTGTGGGAACAGATGGTTGTAGTGTTATGTCGTCATTACAAAAAGGAGAGGTAGTTGAAATTCAACAAGTTGAGTCAAATGCTCTTTAGTGTCCATGTTATAATCATGCTTTAAATTTAACTTTATCTAAGAGTTCCAACGTGCAACAATATGAAATTGTTTAGAGATTATTAGCAAAGTTGTTGCTTTTTTCAATGCTTCTGCCAAACGAAATTTTATTATTAAAAAAAAGCTAAACTCGCAACTGCTTTCACTCTGCGAAACACGATGTGTTGAGAGACATGATGCTTTGCTGACGTTTAGTGTTGAGCTTCCACAAATAATTGATGCACTGGACAATAAATCTAAATGAAATAACCGAACATCTTCAATAAAAGCAAGAATTTTATTATTATCAGTTAGAGAAAGTGATTTTATTGTATCTTTAGGCTGCACAGTACATGTGTTTTCCTCAGTCAGTTGTTTCAAAAAAAAAATTTAGATTTACATAAAGCAAAAAATTGCATTAAAACCTGTTAATTGTTTTCAAAAATGAAAGAGAAAACTGCTAAAAAATGTTTAAGGAAATTTTTAGAGCCGGAGAAAAAACAATAATTGAAAAAAATGGTAGTTTTACCTTCAAAAGAATAGTACAACGACAGACATGTCGTGAAAATATACCTTTAGATTTAATGGGAGAGTATTAGAGGCAATCAATTTACATTCCTCTACTAGACGCGTTGATATTGGACATAAGTGCACGTTTTTCTAATGAAGATCTACAATGTCTTCAGATCTATGCTTTAATGCCAAAAAATATTTTTACACTGACTCATAAATATATTGTTAAAAATCCTTCTGCAATCAGAAATGTCTATGGCATCATTCTTGGACTTTATATCCAAAACTTACCTGCACCTGAATTTACATCGGAAGTTGAACTATGGCAGTGCAAATGTAAAAGGATGAAAGAAGAGGAAAAAATCACATCATTATCTACTGATCTTTCTGTTGTTTTTGATTTGTTTGACCAGGTGTTATATCCAACCACTCATAAATTGTTTAAAATTATCAAGAAATGTCCTGTAAGTGTCGCCAGTGCTGAGCGTAGCTTTTCAACCTTGCGAAGAATTAAGAATTGGCTGAGAACACGAATGACAGAAAACAGACTAGTTGGATTGGCTTTACTTAATGTGCACAAAGAAATTCCTGTAAATGTTGAAAAAGTGATTGGCCGTTTTGCGAATTCGGGAAATCGTAAATTAGAATTTGTAATATGATTAATTAAAAAAATCGACAAACCAAGTATGCTTTTTTATAAACGGCTAAATATACTAAATACAAAAAAATGATTTTTCAAATAATGTATGGGGGGCAATCGCCCCAATCGCCCCACCTTATGGATACGCCCTTGGATGATACTTACAAAATACGTACTATAAAAAAATATTAAAGCAAGTATAAGTGAGTACAACAACTTATTTATTATACTCACGTATACTTGACCTATTTTATTAACTAATTAAACCGGAAGACAATCTCTAGCTATAATAAAAACTAAAAAGTACATTATAAGCAATCTTCAACAGTCTTCAGTACAATATAAGCACCTTCTTCAGGACTTAAGTTTCCAACACGATGCAAAATTTGCTCTCAGACCCTAAAACAGAAAGAGCTATTATTTGAGGGAGGAGCTATTTAAAGGGCAAAGGAAGCAAAAGATGAAGAGTAATTATAACTTCTTATGTGTTTAAAATTTTTTGACTAACAGCATGATTAACATGGTTTCCTGTCTTAAATTAGTTAACAGCGGTGGATATGGAGAAAGCGGAGCTAATACAAATTTTCCTGAATGGCAGCACAAAAAATGAACTTCACTCAATAGTTTCTCCGCACGACAATGCTGACAAATTTTTTTCATTCTCCGAGGTAGTTACTATCTATAGACCAGCATCTAGTCCTATACATAGTATTCAGGTTCTATTCAAAAGTCCTTGTGAAACTTGTGAGATCTTGAAGGTCGTTGATTGGCAACTTATAAACTATAATTTAATAATGTCAGAGGCGTAGAGTAAAGTCTTCAGTACAGATCATTTGTACTGAACACTTTTCTCCTCTGGCATCTACCAAGCTATACTAAATGGCACTTGTTCTATTAATCTGGAAAATTGCAGTCATAGAAAACTAACTTATTTTAGATGGTTCACCACTGCTAACATGATCCTCGAATTATATACATCTACCGCTAATCCTTCATTAAATTTAGTACTTATAGCAACATAAGTTAGGCGCGTTTATGCCCCTAAGTCTTCCATTTTTCATGGTATTTTTCACGTAGGCATCTATGCAGCACAATAGTCAAATCACGGTATCGCTCAGATGCATTACGTAAGGTAGTAAAAAGATTTATTCAAAAAAATGCATTCTTTGGTCATCAAGAAAATATACTTCTGATATGATATCAGGTGAACAGCCACAAATATAAGAATTAGGTGTTAGGCTTATACAGAGAGCTAGAGAAGAAAGAAGTATAAATGGAATTCTAACTAGTGTGCGGCAATTTAAAGTTCCTTTTCTTAATTTTACGGCAAAGAACACATGGCAGTTGATTGGTTGGAGTAATAAACAACGGACAGAGCCACCACTAACAATGCAGCTCACTGAAGAGGAACTGAAAATAGCAAAAGAGAATTCAACTATGTAATCTTTTGGAAAAATATTCGTGCCACCCGCAAGCTGTAGAACGTTGTATAAAGATGGTGACAACGGTTTCCGCCTCGGTTTGCGGCAAAATAAAAAAAGAATGTGATAAGTGTCCGCCTCTAATCAAGAAAAGTATGCCAATATTGAACACAACGCTCATAATATCACTATTAAGTAATATTTTTGCTTTATTTATGTTAGTATTATGTAATAAACTGACCTGTTCAACTCCTTTAAAATAATATGCTAATAAATTAGAAGAAATGATTTCGAAAAGAAGAATACTACAAATCATTGTTTGGAATAAAAAAATTAATTAAGGAAAATTCTAAAAAGTTAATTTAAACAAAAACTGCTGCAGTAGTAATTATAGTTCAATTTACTCATCTTAGTTTCAAATTTTTAGTTTTCTTATAATAATATAAAAATCAGAAAGAAAAATGGAATTTTAAAAAACTAATATAAAAATCAGAAAGAAAAATGTTATTTATTTATTAAATGACAAAAAAAAATAACTTAATTTTGCAAACAAAACTGAAAATTGTATAAACACTATTTTGTTTCAAATTTGACGCTGTTAATATTATGCAAAAAAAATATTATTTGAATATTTTTAAAAATAATTATTTTTAAAAAAATTCAAAATAAAACAAAAACAAGCGCACACACAAAAAAGATACCTAATTCTGGATACGGTTAAATATTATTTATTCACGCCTAATTGTGCGTATCTAAAATGTGTTAGTTTAATTCCGGATTTACGCACTAATTAAAACAATAATAATAGTAATAGTAATAATAATAATAATAGTTACGTAATTATTATTTATTTACCCATAATCTTGTGTATATAAATAAGTTCATTTATTTACTGTGTTTATAAATGAATGCAGCTAAATTAAAAAAAAAATAAAGAAAGAATCTCTAATGCAGTTCAGAGTGCTCTATTCATAAATTTTATTTTTAAGTTAGATCAAGACTCATAATAATGAGCTCACAAAATAAACAATTTGGAGAAAAAATATTTTGCCTATTTGATACCGTTTATAATCCGTATTTGTTAATTAAATCGATTATATAGTAAAACAATAAGTTACTATTCGATAACTATAACTAATTAGTTATAGTTATCGAATAAGTTGAATAATTGACAACTTTTAAATTACGTTTTTTTACCCATTTTGAAAATATTTTATATTTACACAAACGTAAAAGTCAAATGGACGTCTGAGAACCTACTACTTTGGATTTGGACCTTTTTGGACGTCGAAAAACGAATGTACCTAAACGGTATGTCCTATGGACGTATATATATTCACACTTACAAAATATAAATCCATATAACTTTAACAAATATAAAAACATAATGATGAACATATAAATATATAAATAAAGAAAAATATACTAATTGGAAAATTTACAAGTACAACCTTATTTTTGTAATATTTGTTCAATGACATACCTCGTAATAAATGTTTAGCAACTTTAAAAAACAATGATTAAAAGATCTGGTTTTTTATATAATAAAAGCAAACAGATTTTCTTTATTTTTTTTTAAATAAGGTTATACACAATCTTATTTTTAAACATAAAATATATAGTTGACCGTGTAAGATGCAAGGGTTTTGGTAATAAATATTAACTTTATCAAGAGCTTATCCTTTTGACCTTTAATATGAGCATCGTCTTTTAATTTTTAAACAAAAAAGTTACAGACTAATATACTTTAAATGCAATTGACAAAGGACTTGAATTATGTTATTATTAAAATGCAAGAACTAAATAAATTACCTGACTTTAAAAGTTGATGGACTAATATAAAAATAATGCAAAGTTTATCTATTACTACAGAAGTCATTATATTAAAAATTTTTCGATCTTGTTATTGATTAAGCTGATGAAGCAAAGTTTTTGATATTTTTACTGATTAAGCAGATATTAACTGATTATAAAGATTTAAGAATACCTCGTCGCGTGGTCAAAAATATAAAGAGAAATATAAAAAGGCCTAGCAGGCTAAATCGTCTTTAAAATATTCCGTGTCAAACACGCAGGAATGAATAACAGCAGCAGCAGCGTTAAGTTCTGCAATTATATATAGTTATTATTTTGAAAGAAAAGCAAACAAAAATAAAAACAAATAGTAAAAAGTTCATGTAAAAAAAATATATATATAGTAAATCTAAAAAAGTATTTTAAGTCAAATTACATCACTAAAAAAAGCATAACTTATCTTAGCATTTAAATAACTTAGAAATTGAAAATGAAAATTTAAAAAATATATATATATATTGTGAAAAACGAAGCTGTTAATCATAAATTTGCTTTAGAAATTTTTGCTTTCTTAATACAGAGTAATTTACTAAAAACACAATAAATCACATTAAGTGTAGAAATACTTCTGCGAGTTTGGATTTTTAATCCTATATATGTTTCTTTTATTCTTCTTTTAAAACCTTTGAATTTGCTTTTATATTTATATATTTTCAAAGTCATTTTTTTAGAATACTGTCTTAAGAAACTCACTTCTATCTGTAATGAATTCACATTTGAAGTTGGCTCGCAAATCAGAATCTATCTTTCAAAGTGCAATTGACATCGTTAAAAAGTTATCAGATTTCCCTATCCATTTTATAGATTCAGAAAATATAATTGAATCACAACAAACAGGTTTTGTTTTTTATACTTCCTAGTCCCAAGACAGTTTTATAAAGTATATTATAAAAAAGAATTAATTTCTTTTAAAATATTTGTTATTAGATAGTATTTATTATAACACTTACCATAAAGATGTAATTTTTATTATATTAATGTAATTAACATTGAAGCTGCAATTAAATTTAACATGTGTAAAAATGTGGTAGCTTCTTCATATAAGCCACTATAAATAATGTTTGTGTTTCTGAAACACTACATTTAGAGTTTAAACAAATTTTCATTTATTTTTAAAAGTTTCACCTACAGTTCACAAATGTAAACAATATAAATGATGTGATATCCTCTACATATACTCACACTGTATATCTTCTGTATATACCCCACAAAACATAAAAAAAGAAATATAAAACCCCACGAAATATAAAAAATATAAAAATGCCTTACGAAATATAAAAAAAGAAATATGTAATGTTCTGTTAACTATGTAAAACTTGTAAGACCAATAATTTGAAAATAAGCTCTCTCAAGACAAACCTTTGATTACTGTTTTTAAAAAACTGAAACATTTTAATATATATATATATATATATATATATATATATATATATATATATATATATATATATATATATATATATATATATATATATATATATATATATATGTATATATATATATATATATATATATATATATATATATATATATATATATATATATATATATATATATATATATATATATAAATAAATAAAAGGTTAGATGAGAAAACACAACTTTTTTACGGTACTTAAAGTTTCATGCCGTTTTCGGCACTCATCAGCCATATATTTAAATCAAGAAAAAATATATTTAAATCAAGAAAAAAGTCTTTGCTTTTCAATAACAATCAGGTTTGGATAAAGCAATCAAGTGGTTTATTTGATGTTTCCATGGGAGCTTTTGACGGCGCGGAGGTTTGTGAGCTTGTAGGAATATTTCTTCTTTTCGAAATTTCAAAATTTTATAACAAGTTTGAGGTTGGTTTATACCGTGATGATGGATTAGCAGTTTTTAG